TAATAATGTGAAAAAGGTCGTGAATTTTTACACATATAAAATTGTAACAGAAATAATAAATACATTTTTACTGTCTTAACATTTTTCTTTGATTTTTATTTAACCAACATTTATTAAAAAATAGACATTAACTTAATCGAGAGTGCAAAATTAACTAAACATATTAAATTACACAATTGTATTATTTTGGTTTGTTGAATAAAAAACTTTCAAGTAATACAAATCCAATTCATTTATTTAAAATGTGCATGAATATACTATTATATATCAATAAATATCTAAATATGCATTTTACACTACAATCAAAAAACTAAATAAAAATAATTAACTTTTAAGGACGAAAAATATTATTTATTTAGTTTTCATTGAAAATAAACCAACTATAAGTACAAATATCACCATATAGTATATACAAATTTGGTTCATGTGTGCTCTTTTTAAATTTCTCATCAACCATGTTGTGTATACAGAACATATTGGTTTTTATAAAAGTATGTAGTTATTTTTCAAACGTCAGAAAGTTAATATGCAAACAAAGAGATAATAAAATAATTGTTGTATTTTCTAATGGTGAATACGTGTTGTGTCACCGCTAAATATTAAAGCAATTTTGTTAGTTACAACTTACACGATACATATAATAATATCTAAATATTTTAGAAAGTTCATAAATTTAATCCATTTACATATAAATATTAAAAATGAACAAAAATGTAATTTAACGAAGGTACACAAAACTTTACACAATACGTTTCAGCATTTTGGCTAAAAACAGAACACTAAAGGATTTTAGTATTAACTAACAACCTGCATTGTTTATGATACTGGTGGCAACTGGCAATGTCAGCTGCCCGTGGAACATTATAAGCTCACGTGTATTTAACATTTGATTGCAGCTATAGATAACAGAATATTCGAACTTAAGACCTTAAGGGATTCTATTTCAAAGTTATGTGCATTAATCCAAAAAGCTAAAAACTAAATATAAAATTAAGTAATATACACTTGATCAAAAAATTATCCACATAATTTAGAATATTATAAAAAATATAAAATGTGAACTTATCCGATTATATGGGAAAATATGTGCTTGAATTTTACCTACAATAAAATAAATTCAACTCTAAAAAGCATATTATTTTTTTTTGAAATCTTACTAAATCATCAACTATTCTTAATGGTTCTATACGGATCAACACACTTTATGATATTCTTATCAACCGCAGTCCACCAACCGTTGTTTTATTGCGTGATACCTTTTTTTTTTTATTCAATACTAACATTTAATATTAATAAATAAGTTTTAATGATTAATTTTTCCAATTTAGATCTCTGAAGAAATATTTGAATAAAGTAATTTATAATACAATAGATTCTTTGTTTTAAAAACTTTATAAGAAAAATCAATAATTAATGCTTAAATCTATTCTGTAAAAATTATTATTATTATTCATCTATAATATTTAACATACGACCAAATTGAATTACTTAATAAGCATTTGTATAATACATCTTTATTACACAATAATTTACAAAGAAAAATATATTTAAATTTATAATTAATACAGTCAACTATAAATAAAACAAAATACGCCCATGAAACTATAAGAAAACTTGTTTACATAACTGCAGTGATTTTACATTCCCAATATTCCGGTATTGGTTTATTTTTAATTAACCACAAATATTTGTGTATCTCCATTAAATACTTCACAATCTGAACATTTTTAAATAAATGAGTGATTTTTTTTAATTGTTTTCATCTTTGAAAACCTTTATATTATAATTAATCAATATCGTAAATCATACTACAATACGAGTATGACGATAATTCATACTATTTGCTTCAATTGAAACTTAAATACAAATCTATGAAACTCATTAAGATTAAATAAAAATAAAATATAAGTTAAATTGTATTCACTTTATTATAACTATGGTCCATAACTTCCTGTTAGATAGATTACAGAAAGTCAAATTTTTCTCCGATGACCCTAAAATTCTGCCTAAATTTCAAGAAGTTTACTATTTATGTTTGATAGAAACGTATCTGTACCCTTCATATTATATATAAGTTTTATTAAGATCATTCAAAATTGAAAAAAAGTAAATTAGCTTAAATTCAAAATTGTTTGTTTAATTTTTCAATACATTTTTCCATCTAACATAGTTATGCTTCCCTAGTACGTACCATAACTTATTTATTAATGATTAATTATTTTATTTGTAAATAGAAGCAGGAAGAGATGATGAGCAAAAATGTTTTAATCATTTTTGTCTTACTAATATTATTTATAATTTAAATAGCAATTTGCACTTAAAATAGTTATTGAAATTTATTTTAAATTTCCATACATAATAATATATACACAATTATGCAAATAATTTAATTACTTACATTATTTTGCCCCATTCTTATTTTGGTAGCTTCAAGATTATTTATTTTAAAATATAAATTGTACATGTTTGAAGAGCACTTATGTTTTAATTATCTCGTCACATTGGTATTAGCATTGTCATTTTTGATTATTAATTTCAACAAAACCTTCGATCTTTAAAGTCTACTGCGCACTAATTTGTATTTATTATGGTATTAAGGACATTATTGCTTATTGCTCATTCAATATTCAATACAGAGTACATACAGACTAATGCGATTTCAATTTACGTGACATTTTATTTGTAATTAATAAAACATTAAAAACTATAGATTACCATTTTTTTTTTTTTTTTTTAATTGAGGTAATACCTAATTTTATTTACAGGTGTTATTATCAACTAAATATATGAGCCATTCATATATAATATTTAATAACATTTAAATATTTGGTTATATTTAATAGTTAATTCTTTAGAATTAAATTTTAATAATTCTAACTACAGTCTAAAACTATAGATATATACCTAATATTCTAAAAAGTAGGTAAATAATATAATGCACTTAACAACAAATTTAAATTTAAATTAATTATTTTGACAGTTAAGTATTTTGTGTTGAGTGGATCCTGTAATTTTATCTAATCCACATTCCAAACTTATATTATATTATCTGATTAATTATGCAAGAGTAAATAAATATGTTGAATAGTTATGATTTAGTATTTTTATTTATTTAATCGCTAAAATTGTGAATCTTAAATTTTTGACCATTCTGTATGTTAGTAATATGATTTATTTATAATATTGAATTTCAAGTCCAAATTTAGATATTGTATAAGAATTGAATTTCAACACGATTGTATTACATAATCTTCCTAATGATTTATACATTTAAAAATATTAGAATACAGAATAAAATAAAAAATAATTTCAATTATAATTAATAAAATATAATAAAAATCAAGTAGTTCGTAAATAAATAAAATAAATGGAGTACATCCAAATGATTCAATAATTATACTTTTGAAATTAAATATATCAGAACCTGTTCCGTTTAATTAATAGGTACTAAAAATTAAGTATAAACACTGTAATAAATCAAATACAGTAAAAAGGCTCTCTTAAATTTCAACCAATATTAGTTTTTTATATTTTATGATAGTCATAAGAAATATAGAATTGTTAAACACCTATAAGTTTAAAAAAAATATTAAATATTCTACATTTTTAATTTATATTTTATGTTAACGAATACCAAATTATCATGAAAGCTTGCCGATATTATTATAGATACAAACTAAATATTTACAAACTCTTTATCAAATCTATAAGTTGATGAATATTATTAAAATATTTTGGATTCTGCCAAAAAGTTCAAGACTATATCTTTCATTTCAATCTCTATGTGCAAACGATAGAAGAAAATACCACCCGTCTATTTTATATTATTGTGACTTTTACTTATCACTCCTAAATCACCAAGATTTTGTTACTTACACATGTTATTGTGAAATTTTACAGATGAAAATGTTATTAATGAGGGGCTCTTTATTGAAGACTTCATTTAAAAATTTAAAAACTAACAAAAATTAAGCTTATTGTAAATTATATATAGGACTTTTCTATAATAATAATTAAAAAAATAAATAAATAGTTAACGAATATAGCGAGGCATAAAATGTATTAAATTAATCAAATAAACGAAATATTTTAATGTAATTTCAACCTGGATTATATTATGTGTACAACATTATAACATGATAATACTTATACAAATACATACAGTTCAAAGCAGATTTTCCGTACACATTTTCAAATTATTAAAAACACTTTATTAATCCAATAACTATTTTAATTATTACATTTTTAATCAAAATCTATGCATAGTTATGTGCATTGCATAAAATAATATTTGTAATGTGTCTACTTAAAATAGTTTAAAATATATTTTTCATATTGCAGTTAATAATATTTCAAATAAAATCTAGGAATATTATATTTTGCAATATTTAATTAATTAAATTTTATACTATTCCTTAATGCTCGAATAATTCCTAGAACTAGTTTTCCTTTAATTAATTCATAATATATTAAAATAAAATTACATGATTTACTTAAAGTTCTTATATATTTTCTAAATAACACTCATTGAAGAATAATAATTTCGCGATATAATCTGAATTAGAAAATTAATGTGTGAGTAATCAAAACTAAAGATTATTTATGTAAAACAGTAATTGTATGAGTTATATTATATTGTTTATAATATAATTTAATATTCTATTTGCGTGTTAATTTTAAACATCTATTCATTTTAATGTATATTTATAATTTATACAAATAATAGTGAACCAATTTTTTAAATAAGTCGTATTTACGAACTTGTTTATATTTAAATATCAATATATAAAATATTCTACTTGTTCGATAAAAATATTATTCCGAATTGAATAATCGTAATTTGCAAGCTTAAAATTAAAAGATCGATGTAAATTTTTAAAAATATTACCAAGTAATAACGTCATATATAAAATATGCACGTAGATTTTTTAGAAAATAGTATTTACAATGATATCCCATGCTTAATATCTAAAATAAATTTTAATATTTGTATAGTATACCTTACGAATGTGATGACACCAACTTTTGCAATGTCCTCCTCTAACAATTTCCACATTTCAGTAAGCAACTCTTTTTGCCGCATAGTCAGCGGTTCTGGCGGAGGAGTAGCTGGTGGTTCTGGCGGAAATTCTTCTTCCAGGAAAGTATTTTGCCTGCTCGAAAGCCGTTTGTTGTGTCGTGTTGAGCCATCGTCACCCGTAGAGTCTTGTTTGGAGAATATTGATCCCCTTCTGGTTGTTCCTGCGTTTCCCATCGAATTTGTACAATATACACGAATACACGAAGAACAATTATACAGAACCGAGGATGTTCACTAACACCGACAATCATTCATAGACATCATTTTAGATTCCTCGTAATCCGAAAATTCAACTAAAATAACATAAATGTATAAAGAAAAAAAATTATTAATTTTCCACGAAATATAATTTAAATCACTTTTTATAATATTATATAAAAAAAAAATGTTACATATATTATGACTACGCACTTATAAAATCAAAACATGTTCCAATATTATGATTACGATAAAATAGTTTTATGCGTTTTTATAATAATATATTATTTTTGATGATTTGCATGTATAATGTAATAATATATATATATATAATATATTATATTAAAAAACTATATTCACATAATAACATGTAAACACATTTTTGCAAATTCTCACAAGAGTTAAAAGATATAAACTGAAACTTTCACTGAAAATCTAAATGATTTATTAAGGTACTAGTATGAGAAATACAATAGAATACAATATTTACTATATTAAGAAATTATTTGGAGTTAAGTCTACTAAAAATAGTTATTTTTCATTAGGACAAAAATATGAAAATATTGTATTTCTGTTGTCCTTGCTTATGTATAGTATTAAATAGTTATTTTTACACCAGATAACCAGATATCAAAAATGTCTATTAATATAATAGCGATTACACCTTTAAGTTGTTAGAGCTGTGATTAATACGTATATATTCTAATTATTCCTTTGATCGTTGAATAAATTATTTCCCGTAATATTACCAAAAAGTACAAGTATTAGAGTATATTTTATTAAAATATATGACTAGTTTATCATATTTTTATAGATACAACTTAACGCTAGTTAAATATATTTTAAAATTTTTGCATTATCAAATAAATTGTTAACTTATATTATAGTATATACGTATATATATTTTAATAAAACATTTTTAACCACGACAATCAACTTAAGTAAACTCAGGACAGTGCGTGCACTGACAAAAGAATTTTGACTCGGTTTTTCTAATTTTTTCGTGTCGGCATTTCTTCCACAATATTTATTGGGTCCGCCTATTTATCGATCATAATAAATAATAAACATTTTTTATTATTTTTTTTTTATTATATTTCAGTTATATATTATTATGATTACAACTGCGTTATTTATTGGCAATTTAATTAGATCACTATTATTTTTTTTTCATTTTTCTGCCATCTCAAAATATTATGATTATTTTTATTCATTTTAATAATCTTCATAATTTGAAATTTTAAAATCAAAACATCGCATTTTTTAATCTAAACACCTATTGATTCATTCGATTAAACACTTTAGATACTTATATAGAACCAAAAGATTTTTTTGACCTAGTCTTATCAATTTTGTTTCAGAAAAATATTTTACTCGTGTAACAAATACAACCATACTGAAAAATCTTTTTTTAATATGTTTATTACTATAATTTTTAACCAAGTATATACATTTATAATCTATAATGAAAACATTGTTTTAGTGTGTGCAAATAAGCGTAAAAATTAAATTATCAATATTATACTCTGCATTAATTAATATTCAAATATGAAAATATACCTATTTAAAACATTTTTTTTTTTTAAATTATTTTGAATAATGATATTAAAAAGCTTTAGAGTAACGTATTTTAATTATATTATAATAATGCTATAACTCAATAATTTTTAAATGGATAAAATGTTTCCCCTTAAAACAATGAAAATTAAAAAAAAAAAACATTTGTTTTTTAGAACATTTGGAGTTTAATTTTAACATATAATTTGCTTCATTGATTCTATTAATTTATAAATATTATTTTTTTAGAAACATTTTATCGTACAAAACTAGTTTTATATCTTTTATTATGTGATTGTATATTAATATCATAATAATTTTCTTTCCTGATTCTTAATTCAATGTACATTGAATTTTATTTATGATGCAAATATATTGTATTTTAATTATATTAACAATTTTTTTCCAGTTCCATAAAAAAACGCTATGTACATTTTTTTGTAAAACATAGATAACATTATTATTAATCTTAATATAAAACTTCTAAAAAAAATTTGATAAATGCCCCTATACTATATGAAATATTTTCAGAAATCGAGGTATTATTTAAGTGAAATTTAATTTACATTCTGTTGTATGTGAGTATTTTGTCTTTTACATTTTTAATAATTCTATTAAATTATGAACTGTATATTATTTAGTTTTCATGGAAAATACTTATTAAGTTATAGATGTATATCATAAAGCATTCAAATAATAAAAAAAAAAACAACATATTTATAAAATACGTTATTTTATTTTGTTACATTTTAAATAAAACTTGAATATTTTAACTTCTTATAAACATTAAAATCAATAACATTTCAACTACTACACTATAATATGATAAATTATAAGTTCAAATTGTTTATTACAATGCATAAACAAATTTTATTTATAATATATTACTTTAATATTTATATTTAATAGTTTAATACGTCATATAATATTTACAGAGGCAGTTTGTAATTTGAATGAGAGTAAATTATTGTTAATTCCATATGGGGTCAATATTATAATATTTGACGATAGTCAACATCACTATATGCAGATGTAAAAAAAAAAATTTTTATTGTAGACACATGATAGAAATATAATGAATCAAAACAAGTTAAATAAAATACACAACATAAAACTCATAAATGAAATATTTATTATTTTATTATATAAAATACATAGCATCTCTTTGTAATATTGTCTTTGTCGTTAATTCTTTTTCTAATTAATATATTTTTTTATTTTAATGGTATAAATAAATCATATTTATTTTAGTGCTATATATTTTTTTAATATGCTTTAATATAGTTACAATTTTTGTTTTTTAAATAGGGACTGGTTTAGAACCATCTCTACAATGGCCGGAAAACAATAATCCTATGGCTTTAGATATCATAAAAGTTACATATAATTATACCTATATTAATTTTATAAGGAATACTTATGTTTATACTATAATAGATCGTTTAAACACAGTAAACATATTATATTACATACATAAATTATACGTGTATTTACTTTTATTTAATTATTAAGGAACAAAATAGATAAAAGAAGAAAACCAAATTTTAATTCTTGATTAATCTACTATTTATCTATTAATCCTAATATTTTTATTTCATTTATTAATTTTTATTTTAAATTTTTAACACAGTTCATATAATTATGATAAATTAAGTTCAGGATTTTAATAATATTTGAAATTATATTGAAAGATAAATCAAAATTTAATAAATCAAATAAATTATATATTTTTAATTTTAAAAGTCAAGTTCCCATACTTAAATTAAACGATTTTATACTAATGAAATATTAAAAAAAAAAAAAAAATCATCAATTACCTAAGGATTTATTTACGCTTTTTTAACAAACAATGTTAACAGTTTACATTTTTAAAATAATCTAAAGTACAGTCTATAGTTTTTTATACGAGTGAAGTATAAAGAATATATTACACATATATTATATTATTCATATCCACACAAAATTTCAATTTATTGAATATATACTCTATACAGTAATCTATAAATGGTAATTTAATTTTAATAGACTAAAACAATAATAAATTTAAACAGCACAGATTAACTTCTCTTTGATATCATAATTCAAAAATGCTCAAGCAAATTTCTTCTTGTTGATACATGACTGCATAATATTATAAAACATAATATTGACTCAAATAATACGGAAAAATATAATTTTACGTCGAAACCAATGTTGTTATTATTCGCATAACTATTCAAATCAAATAGACAATGACCCTTTAGCACTTCCATGGATGTAGTAACCGAGGATATTGTATAACGAACAACAACAATAAAACGTTTAATACACTGTTAGTTCTTTGATATTGTTTTACTATCACGAGCAAAAACTTCTAGCAAACCGAAAACAGTAAAGTAAAAATAAAGTGTACTAAATGGGTAGGAAAGCGCCCCCCTGCGATATGCCCAACCTACGGTAATACATAATATTACCCGCGGTAAACCTATAACAGTAAAAGTAAACTCACCATGACGCAACCACTTTGCGAGCGAGCTCAATAACCACCGCCTAAGCGTACGAAATACCTTGGCCGATGTATTACATTCTCGAAATAATGTAATACGAAAATATTGACACGCGCAGTGAAATTGATGGAAAAAAAAAATTGCGAGAATATTTACGCATAAAAGACGTATAAATATTATAAACGACAGTGGAATTAAGTCGTATTTTTTACAATTCATATATTACCTATATTATATAAATATCATACAGAACACGTAATAATGTTCCCTTTTTTTTACTGGAGCTCCACACGAGTCTCCTCCTTGGCGAGGTCCGGTTACGTTCGGATAACAAAACAAATAATATAATATAATATATATATATATATATATACCTATTCTAGGTATTCGTATACGAGTAATGTGTAAAGAGTAGTGACCGTACGTACCAATATCGAAGGAAAATTTGGTTTTCGGGTGGGAAAGGAAAAAGACGACAGCTATGTGGGGGCGGTGTGTGGCGACGACGACGACGACGACGACAAAGACGACGAAGACGATTTTAGCGAGAGACGACTGACGGACGCGGAAGTCAAGTTCCGACGGTGGTGGACGTAGCGGTACGACTGGTCGACGCGCCGCGTCCACGTGTAAAGCTCTCGATGGCGTGGACGGCGCCAAAGTTCGGACGGCGCGTGCGCGTCACGTGGTCCGAGAGACGCCGCGGTGCGCGATCCAACGGAGACGCTGTTTTAAGGACGATGTGTGGTAGTACGTATCCGTTGATTTTATAAAAAAAAATTTCCGAACAAGGCACCAGGACGCTTATTTATTGAGAGTATTTATAGTATCATCACACCAGGGCTCGGAAGTTGTAGGAGCTGAAAGAGACAAAATGTGCATGGAAACGTGCACGAAAAAATTGCGAAATATGCATTAAAATAATGTCAAATATGCAAATAAGTATTCTGAATTCCAAAAAAAAAAAAATAAAAAAAATAAAAAAATACATCAAATATTGTAAATAAATCAATAAAATAATAATATATGTACATAAAAACTGTTTATACTTAATTGAAAAAAATCTTAAACTGATTGACATTTTGACATCTTACTGAGCTAAAAGTATAATTGAAAATATTCTTCAGTATTTTTGAAATTACGATAAATACGTTTGTTGAAAATTTTGAAATTTATATTCAACATTAATTGAAATATACAGGTTAAGGGTTAAGAAAGAAAAAAATCAATTATTTTAGAAAAACGTGAAATATTAATGATATGCGTATAAAATCAATGAAATATGCACTTTTTATTAGCTAAAATTCAAAAAATTGCAATTTTTTTAACTCTCCTTTGTACAGATTATTCTGATGTAAATTGAGAGCATACAGAACAATATGCAGTTCTATAGCTTCCGAGCTCTTAATCATCACGATACGATTATATTATGTATTTCAATGAAATCGACAGCTTATTTATTTTCAGCGTTTGTGTATTTTACTCATGACGAGTGTTTAAAATTAGTTTAATAATATTGTTGTTGGATAAATTTAAAAGCAGTATTATATAACATAACAATAGCTATAAACGAATATAATACGTGGATGATGAATACGACCTTACAAAACTGTTGAATACTTAACGATGTTTTGTTAAAAATAAAAGAACACGCGATTTCATGTCGGTGGAAATGTCAATATATAAGTTTGATACTTATGATGACACGCATAGAGATATCACTCAAATCGATCGGTATTTTTGAGTAATTGTTTAGTAGAACATACAGACTAGAAAAAAAATGTAAGAACATAATAATCATTGTGGAAAACAAGAACACGATGTAGCGTACAATCTAGCTAGGTACGTCGTTAATTAAATACAATTTAAAATATGTTATGCTGGACTAATATTGGTTGATATTCGAAAGATTCATTTTCTAATTACGAAGAGATCAAATTCCCCGTACGAATAAGAGTAAAATGAACTGTTGATTATTTTAAGTATTTCAATCACTCCCGCTACAGCTTTATGACTCTCGTTAATATCTAACAACTCTGATTGTCGAGAAATCCGTTATTTATCCTAAAATACTCTATTTAAAATGCATTTACCTGCTCGGATATTTATGATCTAATAAAATTCTGTAAAAATACCTATTAATAATAACCGCAGATATAATAATATTAAACTATTTTATTATTATTTATTATTATTATTATTATTATTATTATCATCATCGGCTTAAAAACAATATACACTTTAACGGTAATTGAAATAATGAAAATAATATTTTGAAACGTAATATGAATACGCAACAAAACACAATATATTATAATTGATTATACCTTTTCATATTTTCGATTTATGAAACAATAAAACCCTGATTTCTTACCGAGTCACTTCTTCGATACAAGACAATTGTCTTTCACGGAAGAGAAAAAATATTAAACAAGCACAAATGAACGTATAGTTATTAATAATCATCACATTTCAAAATATCATCTTTTGATTTTATAGGCTTTTAAGTAATTGACTACCAATAAAATCAAAAAGAAACTTAAAAACCGCGCACTAAAAAATATTAAAAATTTTCTATTAGCGTTTTAATGTAAATTGGAAATCGAATACAGACAACAACTTATAGGTCAATTCTCAAATTTTCTAACAATTCAAAAACACTCAAAAGTTAAAAAAAAATTTTAATAACTTCTAGCTTTTAAATATCTTGATCATCTTAGTAACAATAAGAACGTAAATAGAACTAAAAACATTAAATTATATGATAATATCTGTATATATATTTTATATATATTATTTATATAAACGAAAATGTCCTGAATGACTGATTCAAAATCAACGTAAAGCCAAACCTATTAGAGCTATCGATTTGAAATTTTGAGGGTAAATTAATATTATCATTTCGCCGCGCACTAAGAAAGGGTTTTTCAAAATTTTGATTTTAAAGGGTTAAAATCGGCAAAAAACAAAATTTTATGTGTAAGTTGTATACTTTTATTTATCGATGAGTAAGCGCTTAAAAGCCATGAAACCCTAGTTCACATTTTTAGGCTCTTTTTCTCATAGACAATTGGATGTGGCATTCTCCAGAGTATGCCCAAAAGTTTAGTAATTTTGGCACCCACTAAATGAAAAACATCAAAATTTAGCCTATACAGAAGTTTTGTAATAAAACTGTTGTCATAAATTATTATTTTTATTATGCACCTACTAAAATTTGTGGGTAAACCTGCGACGGGTAACCCGCTAGAATTACTAAATTTATTTTTTTCTATTATTTTAACTTATTTTACAGTGGAAATTTATTTTTATTTGTCCATCATATAAAAAGGTCAAAAAGTTTTGTATAACTGGAAGTTTAAATTATAACAATCATACTATGTGGGCGGTGTCCATACAAAAGTTCCAAAATAATTTTAAGTAAATATTTTCATTGCGTTAAACGTGAGTAAATAAAAAAAAATATATTTATCAGTTAGAACTATTATGACAGACTTTCTCAAGATTATAATTGAGTATTATATGTACTATAAATTAAAAAATCTAAAAAAACTCTCTCTGTTGTATAAGAAGTTTCAAATATAATTCATCATCAAGTAAGTCACTGTAGAAATATATTCAATTTGATTTAAAATGACAAATCATAGCAAACAAAAAAAAAAAAAAAAAACTTACAGAAATTAAAAAACTTAAGAGATATAATGAATCATTTTTACTTAAATTAATTAGTGGAACTAATGTTTATGATAAACATCGCATAAAACTTGAAAATCAGTATAACTGACGTATTGCATTACGAATTGAATAAATATGATATAGATAGCTTAAAAGATAAAATCCATGTAGTTTAGAAATTTTTTTTGAATATTATGTCATAAATGTTCTAGTTATCTAGCTGCTTTTATAGAAAGGTTAAGAAAAATACTGAATTTTCTTTACTTTTGATCCTTTGAATACAGGTTTAAATAAAAAATAGGGAAACTATTTGTCTTATCAAAGTTCTATGCATAAAAAAACTGAAACTTTAACCACATCAATATTGTATACGCTATCGAAAACCCTTTATAAACTATAATACATATGCGAATACTTACCATAAACAACTTTATCAAGAAAATATCTTGGAAAAGATCTTAAAGTATAAACAAAAATTGACTTTATCAAGCAAATTTCTTTGATGACAGTAAACATTACAATTGATATAAGTAATAAAAACTAAATACTACATTAATTGTAAAAAAATTAGTTTATGTTTTAATTCAATGCTTAAATGTATATTATAAACTATACGATAATATTATCAATACACAATAAATAATCATTAATCTAAATTTATAATTTTAAAAGTAACTTGAAGCCAATTTAATATGGTTCATGCAAATTGTTTGTTATCTAATGTCTTAAAATCTTTATATAATATAATAATTATAATGTGTCTACAATGGCTTAACCATTTTAGGATAAAAAGTGTAGGAAAGCCAAAAATAAATAAATAAATTTTGTTTAGAAATGGCTGTATAATAAGTATAATATACTCATATTTTAATTATAATTTGTATAGCAATTATATATTTATTTTCTATATACATATACTACATGTACATGTATATGTGTATTTTACAAGTATAGGATGTAGAACAGCTACCAAATTGAAAATATCTGGTAATAATATTTTCTAAAACATGGTACCATTAAATACTAATAAAATAATTAAACATTGTTAACCTAATCTTTGAATAAAATATTATTTTTTTTTTTTTTTGAAATCAATTTTTTAATTGCAATTTGTTTTTAATTGAAATAATGATAATCAGTGTTGGGAAATATCTATATAAATTATAAAGATAGAATTGATTTATCTTTTATCTTATTTAGATAATTCTCAACTTATTTATTTTTATTTTCATCTAGATAAAATTATAATTATCTATGAGTATTTATCTAGATAATTTATTTTTATGGGCTAAAAAAAAAAAATTAAAATTAAAAACGTTATTTTTTTTCAAATATAAATTATTTCTATTTTATTAACTCAGAGATTGACTTAATATCTTTTAATGAAATTTATTCAAAAAGTAATGGTTTTTTATTTTTTTAAATTTAAGCGTTTTTGTATTGTTAAATCGGAAAATGACTTTTCATATGTTCTAATGAATAAACTATTTTATTTTATATTTATATTTTAATATGTTTTAAATGATATATATATTTTTTACCTAGAACTTGTACCTATATCATTGAGTATTTGCAAAATTAATAAAATTATCTGATATTTAACTAAATAAAAATGTATTAATTTTTATCTTTATTTAGATAAAAATTGGTTTAATTATCTTTATCTAAATAAATTATTAATTATCTATTTCCAGCACTGAATTGATAATACATAATACGAGTATTTCCTTGTTTGTTTATATATTCCATCAAATGAATAAATATAAAAATATGAAAATTATTGTTTTTCAACAATAATATGAATTTGATAAAATAGATATTGATTTTGAAATAAATAGATACTTAATTAAAATACACATCCCATACTGTTTTTAAAATAACTATTTCATGTACCAATCGATGTCTTGCAAATTAAATTAATAAAATCAATA